CACCATATCCATGTACTTGCCTGCATCTCCCACCAGATTATAAACCCTGTGGGAGTAGAGACCACATCTGCATGTTCCATAGTTAAATTCTCAGTTCCCCGCCAGGAAACCTGACACATAAATATTCAACATTCTTTAATTTTATCGAAGGCATGCTCAAAACTGAACATCCAGTATTAAGCACTGATTGATGAACAGAGCATTACACACCTACAAAACATGGAAGACCTAAATCTCAAGAGCCAGGCAAGGGCTCAAAGGGAAGCAGCACTTGAGCTGTCTAACAAGGGAAGGAATTTTCCAGGCAATCAAACAAAGGTAAAATAGCTTAATACACCTTAGCATGTTCAGGGAAAAATAAGTAACACAATAATACTGGGATATAAAGTACAGAGGAGGTGGAGACAAGAGATGAAGCTCACGATGTGGCCAGGGCCTGATCATCAAAGGGCCTCTACACCATTAAAAAATATTTTAAATTTCTCTTTGGATACAGGCAAATTTTCTGTGGGGAGTAGAACAGTTAGATCTGTAAGTCAAATCAAGCCCACAAACATAGTGGAAGAGGGACTGGAGGGAGAGACAAGAGGCTGGGAGATCAATAAGGAAGATTACAGTAGTCCAGATAGCAGATATTGAGAACCTGAATGACAGAAGACAAACAGCTAGCAACAGATATGAGATTTAGAAACAGGACTGTCAGGCATAATGCTGCCAAACTCCCAACTTCTTTGATAACAACTATGGTCCCAGGGACAGACGAGCCTCTTGGGCTGCCGTCTATGGGGTCGCACAGAGTCGGACACTGATGTGACTTAGCAGCAGCAGCATGGGCCTAGGAATCTAATAGATAATTCCCAAAGAAACACTGGACTCCAGTCCTCACGGCCAAAGAGCTGCCATGAAAAAGAAAACACTCTGAATTAGGCCTCCTTGCCTTTCAAATTCAAACCATTTTGGATCTATAAACTAGGGGAAACAAAACTCTGTTAATTCCAAAAGTATTTCATAAAGATTAGAAAACAGAATAGACAAAAGCTGTGAAACTACTTAAAAACTGATTTCAATATCAAAGACTTATTTTAAGGACAGTCTTAATGTTTTCCACACATCCCTCCTAAAGAGCACTTTAAAGGAGCAAAAGAGGGATTTGAGGGATTTGAATCAAGTAAAAAAGGAAAACTAGAAAGGCTGCCAATACTGGGATGCTATTCTGAAAAAGGGACAGGTGTCCTCTTCTAGAGATATCTAACCAAAAGATAAACAGTCAGCTGCTGAGGATGTCTGAAATCTGTCTGGAAGAAGAAAAATATTCTATCATTGAAGTCTTCTACACTGTAAACTATTGATCCAAAAAAAACAAACAAAAAAAGATTTATCAATGGCAATTTTCTACCTCTGGCTCCTTCTTGAAAACCATGGGTAAGTCTCCCCAGTCATGAGGGAATAGGAGAAAACAGATCATTTTCATTGGGCTCAAATAATATCAGGCTTTAAAAAAAAAAGTGACAGGGTCCTGTACTGATTTATAAGGTACTAGTCAATGTCCAAAGAGCATATGCTAAAGAACACATGCAGAAGGGATGGAAGAGAACAGACTACCAAAAAAAATTAAGGGAACCAGATTAGAGAACTTTCCCCTCCAGTTTATCCTACATATTAACACCAATTTTAAGTCTCTCCTTCACTCAAATCTAAAAAAAATTTTAAATGTTTTAAATGCTTAGATGCATTCCTATTACCTAGAGGATAAAATTCCTTGGCCTGGCCCTCAAAGTTCTAGCACCCAGAACTACCTAATCCTTCCACATAATCGCCTACAATTCCCTTTCTCAGCCAAACTGACCTCCCTTCTCTTCCAATAGATAGAATAACTTGGGGAGGTTAGAAACCCCAGCACAATAAACAGACACAAGGCAGTGGTGGATTTAGTAAGGTCCAAGGTGTCAAAAGAAATGCAAACAAAAACAGACAAACGGGATCAAATTAAACTTAAAAACACTTGCACAGCAAAGGAAACTATAAACAAAAATAAAAAGAAAACCCTCAGAATGGGAGAAAGCAACTGACAAAGGATTAATCTCCAAAATATACAAGCAGCTCATGCAGCTCAACATAAGAAAGACAAACAAGCCAACCAAAACATGGGTAGAAGACCTAAACAGACATTTCTCCAAAGATGTATCAGTTCAGTTCAGTTGCTCAGTCATGTCTGACTCTTTGGGACCCCACAGACTGCAGCACGCCAGATCTCCCTGTTCATCACCAACTCCCGGAGTTTACTCAAACTCATGTCCATTGAGTCGGTGTTGCCATCCAAACATCTCATCAGTCTGTCATCCCCTTCTCCCACCTTCAATCTTTCCCAGCATCAGGGTCTTTTCCAATGAGTCAGTTCTTTGCATCAGGTGGCCAAAGTATTGGAGTTTCAGCTTCAGCATCAGTCCTTTCAATGAATATTCAGGACTGATCTCCTTTAAGATGGACTGGCTGGATCTCCTTGCAGTCCAAGGAACTCTCAAGAGTCTTCTCCAAAAGTATTAATTCTTCAGCACTCAGCTTTCTTTATAGTCCAACTCTCACATCCATACATGACCACTGGAAAAACCACAGCTTTGACTAGATGGACCTTTGTTGGTAAAGTAATGTCTCTGCTTTTTAATATGCTATCTAGGTTGTTCATAACTTTTCTTCCAAGGAGCAAGCGCCTTTTAATTTGATGGCTGCAATCACCATCTACAGTGATTTTGGAGCCCCCAAAAATAAAGCCAGCCACTGTTTCCACTGTCTCCCCATCTATTTGCTATGAAGTGATGCGACCAGATGCAGGATCTTAGTTCTCTGAATGTTGAGTTTTAAGCCAACTTTTTCACTCTCCTCTTTTACTTTCATCAAGAGGCTCTTTAGTTCTTCTTCACTTTCTGCCATAAGGGTAGTATCATCTGCATATCTGAGGTTACTGATATTTCCCCTGGCAATCTTGATTCCAGCTAGTGCTTCATCCAGCCCAGTGTTTCTCATGATGTACTCTGCATATAAGTTAAATAAGCAAGGTGACAATATACAGCCTTGACGTACTCCTTTTCCTATTTGGAACCAGTCTGTTGTTCCATGTCCAGTTCTAACTGATGCTTCCTGACCTGCATATAGGTTTCTCAAGAGGCAGGTCAGGTGGTCTGGCATTCCCATCTGTCAGAATTTTCTAGTTTATTGTGACCTACACAGCCAAAGGCTTTGGCATAGTCAGTAAAGCAGGAGTAGATGTTTTTCTGGAACCCTCTTGCTTTTTCGATGATCCAGCAGATGTTGGCAATTTGATCTCTGGTTCCTCTGCCTTTTCTAAATCCAGTCAATAAACACATGAAAAGATGCTCAACATGGCTCATTATTAGAGAAATGCTCTAAACAAATCAAAACAACAATGAGGTATCACCACCTCACACTGGTCAGAATGGCCACCATCAAGAAATGTATTATACAAACAATAAATGCTGGAGAGGATATGGAGAACAGAGAACCCTCTTGCACTGTTGGTGGGAACGTAAACTGAGGCAGCCACTATGGAGAACAGTATGGGGATTACTTTGAAAACTAGGAATAGAACTACCCTATAACCCAGGTATCCCACTACTGGGCATACACCCTGAGAAACCCATAATTCAAAAAGACACATGTATTCCAAATCTCACTGCAGCACTATTTACAACAGTCAGATCATGGAAGCAAGTGAGATGTGCGTCAACAGAGAAATGGATAAAGAAGCTGTACATACATACAATGGAGTATTACTCAGCCATAAAAAGGAACAAATTTGAGGGTGCTGAACTGAGATGGATGAACCTAGAGCCTGTTACACAAAGTGAAATCAGTCAGAAACAAAAAAACAAATATATATTGACACATATATATGGAATCTAGAGAAATGGTACACATGAACCTATATGCAGGGCAGGAAGAGAAAGGCAGACAGAACAGACTTGTGGACACAGCAGGGGAAGAAAAGGGTGGGATGAATTGAGAGAGTAGCACTGAAACATATACATTACCATGTGTGAAACAGATAGCTAGTGGGAGGCTGCTGTGTAACTGAGGGAGCTCAACCCAGTGCTATATGACAACCTAGAGATGGGGGAAAGGGGTGTGGAAGTGGGAGGGAGTTTCAAAAGGGAGGGGATACAGGTACCCTTATGGTTGATTCACTCTGCTGTATGGCAGAAACCAACACAACATTGTAAAGCAGTTATGCTTCAGTTAAAAATAAGTTTTAAAAAATAAAAATTTTAAAAATAAAAAGAAATGCAACCAATACCCTTTCACAGCAACTATGAATTGTCCTGAATCCTTTTTCCTAAAGCAATTTTCATTTCTTAGCCCCAATTACCTATTATCCAACAGCTATGAAATCACAATCCCCCACAAGAACCCCACTACTCCCTCTCACTAGGCATTTTCTTCAATGACAAGTCATCAACTTCTCATTGGGGAGGAAGTTAGGGGGTCTGCCAATTCAATTTTAGCCACAGCAGCCTCAAATACAAAAACTTGGCATAAAGAAAAATTATCTGCTCAAAAATTCTTCTGATTGTATCACACCAATAATAGAATTATGAGAATGAAAGCTGAGTTCAAGATAGTAAAATAACAGCTTCAGAGTTGGGTTTTCCATTTTAAAAGTTTACCAACTTCAAAGCTGTGTTAAAGAAACTTAAGTTAAAGCCGAAATGCAGTTTTCCCTGGACCAATATGAAGTGAAGTGAATCACCAGGTTGAGGAGCAGAATGAAGGTGTTTCTAGATTTAAGTCCAGTTCTTCGGCGGCTTTTTGGTGTTAGGTACGACAACCTGAATGAGCCTCAATTTCCCCACTCACAAAAACACGGCAATGCAGATTCCCCTCACAACTTCAGAAGGCGGTGGTCTGATACAGAACCGAGTACTGTGGAAATACAAGCACGCACCAAAGCAACACATTATTATTGAGATCACTTATAGAATCATTACCCGCTAGGATGAAGCTCCCCACACAAGAGATGAAGCCCGAGAGGAAGGAGTTGAAGGGGAAGGTCCCCACGAGGAGACAATAACCGAATTGCAGCGCTCCGGTCAGCAGTATATACAGGAGGTATGCGTCCAACAACTTCAAACGCTGAGGAGTGGAGCTCAAGTACTCTTCTAAAAAACGCGAGATGACCGACAACACAGACGCCGACATGACTACAGTCAGCTTCAAGCTGAATATTCCCGCCGGCGTACCCTCAAACTCCTAACTGACCAGACCACCACACCGGATAGCGTTGGCGCATGCGCACAGCTAATATCCCAGCTCCGCCCTCCTCGAGTTGCCACTTTGCGCAAGCGTATAGGCCGGCCAAGGCGCGAAGCAAGTAATGCGCAGACGCAGAATACGTCAACTGCAGGAGAACTACAGCCAGAGAAAACTAGTGCGCCTGCGCAACGGGTCTGTCCCAGAGCTGGAGACGTGTACTCTTTTTGTCCTATTTCCGCCATCGGGTTAGAGACGCCCACAGTTGCTCTAGCAACAGAGTAGCGTGGGAGGAAGAGAAGGATAGGTTTTTCAGCGGACAGCGTGGCTACCCGAAGGTTCCGGCTTTCTTGGGTTCTTAGGCGTCCTAATTGGATCTGCTTTAAGTCAATGTCTGGCGCTTCCTGGGTTTCGGTACCCGCCCGACCCTAATTCTGTTAAGGGCACTAACTGCAGATGCCTGTCCCAGATCATTAGAGGAAGTCGAGTTGTCCCGCAGTGAGAACCACCGGAGCCGGTCACTGCGTAGGCATCAGTTTAGACTTGGTTATTGGAGAAGGCAAGTGCGGGGCGGAGTGGGGGAGCTCGACCTCCGCCCGGCCCTGAACTCGATTTGGGAGCTAACCTCTTGAGGACGCTTAGGAATAAGCGCGGTAGAACCTAGGCCCGCAGGTGTTCATTCAATCAGCAGACATTTATTGGACGCCTTCGCCAGCCTCCATTTTGCTATAAATTGTAGGTTGTTATGCTAGATTTTAGGTATCCTCAGGGAAATATGATATAGTCTTAAAAGAGCTGGTGATGGGCAGGGGCGGGGGGAAAAGTCCATTAAATTGCATAAGAGTATATGATCAAGTTTAGCAGCCTTCTATTCCCAAGCTATCATCTTGAACCTGTCGAACTATCCCAGAATGACAGCTCTGAAAGGCCTGTAAGAGCATTGCCTGGTGCCTGGTTCAAACCCTACACGCTCCAACTTATTTTGCAGAGGAAACTAAAGGTTTGAGGGTTTGTATTTTAACAAGTGAGATTAACTATTCATATCTAGCATTTTAACTTTTTTTGAAAACTGAGATATACCTTAATTTCTGGCATTTTCTGCGTTTTAATTTCATATGAATCTGACCTTCCAGACCTAGTCTTTCTCCGAGCTGCAAGCAGTACATGAACCAGGTACTTTTACAGCTTACATTTATAACTTTGAACTATCCTAGGCATTCAAGCAAAATTCCTAAAACAGCAAGTTTCCTTCATTCATTTTCACTTTTTATTTGTGTTTAAACTGGAACCAAATGAGCATCACAAATGTACTGATTAACAGTCGTGAGCAAAACCTTGCTTAGTTCTAGAAAGCGGAGATGTAATCCATGTCCTCAAACAACTTTAAAATCTATTTGAAGATATATTCATATTCACACTCATGGAGATTTATACTGTTATCAGAACTTCAATCTAAACTCTTAAGTTGCTGAGAAAAAAGTGCATAACCATGCCAGTTCTGAATTTCAATATAATAAGGCAAGAAGCCTCAGTTTATCTGACAAGTTGAAACTTTCTCCCTGCCTCATCAGTAAGTAGGACGGTACTCCTCACCAGTATTCAACTTCAAACTTTAAAGACTAGGCGGAGGCTGTTTAATCATTTAGGAGTGGATTCCTGAGGGGAATCATCCAGGCTCCTTCCAGTAGTCTCTCCCTTACGTTTTGTCTACCTTTGATCCTTGTCTACTATCATCATTAGCATCTCCATAGGAACTCCCAAAGGGGGAAAGCAGAAGAGATGAAAAACATCAAATTCACTCACTGAATACATCCTTTTGAGATCTGCAAAGTCAAACACCGATATAATGAACTAAAGCTTTCTGGACTACTTAAAACAGCAAGTAGTCTCCTGTGTTCAGTTTATGATTCTGTAATCATTGAAACATTTTTTTTGACTGATCTCTCAATGGAAAATTGTTAATACTAGTGTTAGTTTCAATATTTTAAATCAGAATCTCTATGTAGAGTCATGTCCTGAGTAGTGGACATACACAAGAGTCAGATAATCCTGGGTTTGAGCCTTGATTCTGCTGTTTTGTTGTTGTTTAGTCGCTAGGTCATGTTTGACTCTTTGTGACCCCATGGACTGTAGCCTGCCAGGCTCCTCTGTCCTTGGGATTTCCCAGACAAGAGTACAGGAGTGGGTTGCCATTTCCTTCTCCAGAAAATCTCCCAGACCCAGGGATCAAACCCACGTGTCCTCCATTAGCAAACAAATTCTTTACCACTGAGCCACCAGGGAAGCCCCACTGTTGACTGGTTCTCTAATCCAGGACAAGTTAGTCAGTCTGACAGCCTCATTTTCCTCTTGTTCAAGATGGAAAGAACAATACCTGGCTTGTTGGATTGTTGACTGAAGTAAAAATGCACAATGTGAGAGCTGTGAGTTTCAGTTTTATTTGGGGATTTACTGAGGACTATAGCCCAAGAGACAGTGTCTCAGGTAGCTCTGAGGAACTGCTCTGAAGAGGTAGAGGAGAGGTGATCATGTCCTTGTGGAGAAGGGGGTGGGTAAGTGCCGTCAAGCACATCTTGGTAGAGGACTACTGCTAGTCACAAGGCACAGATATCTTAGTTAATGATTTTAGTGCTTTTCTAAGTATGGGAAAATGCAAGAAGTTGTGTTGCAGGAAAATGGGGCATGAGAGAATGGTCACTTCCCAAATCTTGGGCAAGACCCTGGGATAAGCCCCGAAGTGAGGGTCCTTGGCTTCCTACAGGAAAGAATTCAAGAACTCGATGAAGTAGAGTGAAAGCAGGTTTATTGAGGGAGTTACATACTCCATAAACAGAGTGTGGGCCATCTCAGAAGCAGAGAAGCCCCATGGTTGTTAGTTTTTATAGGTTGGGTAATTTCATAGGCTAACAAGTGGGAAGATTATTTCAACTATTTGGGGAAAGGAGCGGGGGTTTCTAGAAATTGGGTTACCACTCACTTTTGGGGCTTTTATGGCCAATCTCAGAACTGTGATGGTGTCTGTGGGTATGTCATTGAGCATGCACATGTATTACAGTGAGCTTATAATGAGGCTCAAGGTCTATTGGAATTTGAACCTCCCACCATCTTGGGCCTACTTGGTTCTAAATGGCATTTGTCCTATCTTCTATTTTTTTTTGGGGGGGGTGGGGGGGACGGGGGGCAGGCCACATGGCTCGTGGGATCTTAGTTCCTCTATCAGGGGTTGAACCTGGGCCCCAGGAGTGAAAGCACCAAGTTCTAACCACTGGACCACCAGGAAATTCCCCTGTGTCTCATTCTATTAATGGTTGTGCCCTGCCTCCTTCCCTCCCGTCTCAATTGGGTTCAAATTTTCTCCTGTAAATATCCACCTGAAGGCCTGTTCTGCCAGTTTTCCCAAAGCACGGAGTGCCTCATTCCTGATCTCTGCCCTCAACTCCTTTCAGAGTGTGTTGAAGGTCAGTCACCACAGTGACTTAATGACTCAGTCCTTTTAGAGATACAAGACAAGCATGACATTCTTTAGTTCAAAGGCTGTGAGGATTAAATGAGATGATGTTAACAGTAACTAACAAAGCACTTGACACAAAGTAAATATTAAGGAAATGTTTGTTCTTATTAACTATCTTTAACCCAGGTAATTAACTATGTCTGCTTTGTTATTTCTCTGAATAATTAGAAGCTGGGCAAAGCACAGAGCCCCAATATTTGGGCATGCAAAATAATGGGTACTGGAGAGACTGCAAGTCTTATGGCTTTCAGAGGACAAATCAAATTTATAAGTTGAAGCTGAAATCAGTGTAAAATTTAGACCTTTTGTTACTAAAACAGTGAGAGAAAAAAAACTATTTCCCTCTACTCAGGTTCATTGGGCCTATAATTAGACTGACGAAAGACAGATTAACAAGAGGAAAACCAACATGTTTCTTAACATATGCATTGCACATGCACAGGAAACAATTAGGAGTGACTCAAAAGGGTGGTCAGAACTTGGGCTTATATAATGTTAAAAAGCAAAATTCAACTCAGCAAATGTAAAGATTATATTGGCTTTATTCAATAATGTATGAGTCACACAGCATCCAACCAACAAATGTAAAGGTGCTCTGAGGAGTTATCTAAAATAAGAGAGTTTTATAGGCAGAAGGGAGAGAGAAGAGTTAATTATACTAGACAAAAATCAGATTAGTTACAGCAAGGTCATTTTCCTTTAGGGGATGGCAGGGATCTATCAGGCAGATTACCTAATAGTACAGCAAGCTACTCCAGTATTCTTGCCTGGAAAATCCCATGGACAGAGGAGCCTGGCAGGCTACAGTCATAGAGTTGCAGAGTCAGACATAACTGAAGCAACTGAGCATGCACACATGCACACAGTACTGATCAGGCAATCCCTGACTGTCTGGTTTAAGATTTCATTTCTGGGAGCACTGAAATTGTAATTAAGTTAGCATAAGTGACTCCATTTTGAGCCTGTTATCTTGTTTTTAACAGTAGTATCTTAACCCAAGAAAGCAATAAACTTTTAGAGAAGTAACAAGACAGAGGAAAACAACTTTTAGAAATTCAAAGCAAGTTGTGAGTAAATATATGAAGTTGAGCAAGTAAATATATAAAGCATTAATGAAAAATAAAGGCTAGTTAGTACAGTTTATTATGTAGATTCTTCTGGTGCCCTCTTTGGGCTGATAAGGTCAAGAGTTTTTTGTCCTTCCTAATAGAGAGAGGAGCGGGAACACCTTTCTGTCCTGCTGTAGGCAAATAAGAGGAGGGCAGAGAACCTTTATTTTTAATTATTTATTTTTGGTTTTGGCTGTGCTCGGTCTTCTTTGCTGCTCGCAGGCTTTCTCTAGTTGTGGTGAACGGGGGCTCCTCTCTAGTTGTGGCGCACGAACTTCTGATTAAGGTGGCTTCTCTTGTTGTGGAACAGAGGCTTTAGGCATTCAGAC